ACTTTTTCGTTCTTTTTACCTTCTGGTGAAGAAATAAAAGTAAATTTGTTACATTTCTGAGACTAAGAAGATAGACTGCAAAAATTGAAAAGATTATGAGAATGGAAACAGGAGTAAGTATACAGATTTTGATAGATGGGTGAACAAATCAAAATGAAACCTACTATATTAAGGAATTACAAAGTTTAGTAACTTGTACAGAGAGAAGTTCTATTTATTTACACTTTACAGAACCAAAGTCTGCTATGCTCAGTGAGTTAGTAGGATCTGTTTGGTTTGTTACAATATATTCCATCAATAAGAAGAATGCACATATATAACTCAATAGGACTCCTCAACTGGAAACTGCAGCGTAGGTACAGGTGCAACTTTCCCCCTTTGAACCATTTTCTTTAACCTTGGTCCATGAGACCTTCCATGTCATTAGAAGACTTTTCCTGTTCAGTGAAGAAGCATAATTTGTGAGAGAGAATCCTTGCAGCTTCGATGCATATATTTGGTAAGTAAATCATTTAGACATTGTGTAAAAAAGCATCACTTATCATTCCTTTATTTTCAGATACCAAGGAGCAACTCAAAAACGAAGGACCACAACCCTCCTTTAATTGCATTCCTCCATGTTTAGCAGCTTAGAAGTAGTTATGAGGCTTGTGAGTCAAATTATAGTAATTTTGTCCCACAACTTCAGATATATCTTAGCCCTTACAAAAATTTCTATCAGATAAATTAAGCATACAGCAGCATGAATGACTCAATGCAATTTGCAGGATGCTTCCATTCCATTAAGTGCAAGATACTGTACAAGCACTTGTACTGACAGGATGACAGCCGTGTTTAATTTTTTTTTACCTTACACAATATGGGGCAAGTGCCCCAATCTAGTAAGACAAAGTAGAAAACGGGTTTTTCCAAACTTCATTCATAACCAAACACTTATAAAATCAAGGATATTTGATATTTCATCTAGACTCCAATGTTATAAATGTGCATTCTCAATTAAGTTCAACAGAATTAGTTCCATAGGATAGAAAAGGAAAAACAACACTACCTTTCTGTTGTCATAGTCCTCTTCGCCAGCATAAGTGTCAAGAAGACAGGAACCATTGCAGCACACAAGTGTTTGAGAGTGTGTCCACTGACAATATGATTGGTCCATTCGTATATTACTTTATCCATAGCTTCCTCCACTTTAGCTAAAAGATAGAATCCTGACATAAACAAGTTTGAATCATACTGAGCAATGCAGGGATCTTAGAATACTTTAACAAGTAGGCCAACACACAGATGAAAAACAAAAACCTGCTGCCCAAAGCCAATACGCAGAATGTGTGTACATTGGAGGTAATAAGATAGCCATCAAAGGAATGGCAATGCAAGGAACAAACTGGATCAATGCATAAGGTCGGAGGTCATCAAAAAACCTGCGAAAGGGAGTTCATAGTCAGAAATCACAAAGAGTTGTCAAAAAGGTGAAAAATGACCTTTCAGAAACTATACCCTCTCTGCACTAGATTCCAGGGATATCAGTATGAAGAATTACTCAAGTTGGCAAAAATAACTGATTGCGGAAGCATTAAGGCTGAAACAGCCTTAATGCATCAACACTAACTTGAATGTCATTCCAAGTCCCACTCTTACCACTTGGAAATCACTGCCTCACCTCTCAAAAACTAGACAATTGAATAAATTCAAAAACTCTGTACCAGCATGGCTTCAGTTTGGAAAACAAACCATGTCATTAAGGTAAGGCAGAGATTTCAACCAAAGGCCTGCTAAACTATGTCCTTACTTGACAAATCAACTTCCATACAAGCTCTGAAACAAAGAATTTTCATAATAATAAAAGAATGAAAAACCAGTGTGCTTACCTCCAGTACAAGATGCTTATTATGCCTGCTAGTAGCAGTGGTATGATAGAAACTGTTCCCTTCTGTTCATCAACTCTTTCAATAATAAAGATTGCCATGATTGACGTGAATGCAATGGTCATCTACACAGACCACAAACAAAAATATGTTACAATTGATAAATCAACCAAACAACATTTTCAAAAACAACAGCCAGTATTCCAAAAACTAGAACTATCTCCCATATCAAGAATAGCAAACTCACTGGCAGCCGATCCCACACAAGGCGAGCATCATTTGGCTTGAGATGATAATAAGAAGAACCCAGACCAACAGCTGCTACACCAATGAAAAAACAAGTCCAACCATATAGCTCACCTTGTAATCTTTTGGCACAAACAAAACTTGATATCATCAATTATCACATAACATATTTTTGTTAGCCTCAAGAATGTCATAAATTGATACATCTACAAACACTATATTACCTGAACTTGAAATAGTTCTTATAATAGCAAAGCACAAGGCCTATGAGGCCAATAACAAGGAATGGAAAATTTGACAGCACATCCAATGTATTTGGTATGCCTGAGAAACAACAAGAAGCCAACATCAAAATAGTATCTAAATCTTGACTACATGCCATTCCATAAGATGCTTTGTGATGAAGGGTGAACCGGGCTCCCTTGCAATGACGCTTGAGTGTTTGACAGTGTATGGATATAAGGTATAGAATACTCTATTCCTCAAGTTAAGAAGGCCTGGGAAATTTCTCCATATTAAAGATAGGTAGACATAAAATATGGGAAATGAGGTCACTGACTCCAAAGATTTCCCTTCTTTTTTTTCTTTTTCTTTTTTTTCAAATAACAAATTAAATCTACAGTGAAAACTCTCCAGGAACCAAACCATCATCAAAGATGAAAACTTTTTCCATTCCCATCAAAGATCTGCCATGAAAAGGCAGAGGAACTTCTCAGAGTAAGTTCTCAATGCAAGAAGCTCAGTATGCAAATAAGTAATTCAATGTTTAGAGACACTAGACTTCATCCATCTTCAAATAGAAGAGAAGGGTTTCTTTCATCATGCACTTCTTTGAGTTCTTTCCTATCACAAAACTCAACAACAGCTCTTCAATCACAGAAATGAAAAACAGATAATGAGAAAAAAAAAATTAACAATAAACCCATTTACATTCATACCAAGCTTCGTCAATTTGAAATGAAATAGAAGAGAAGAGGAGAGGAGAATTAAATTACCGAAGAATTCCCGTTTATCGGCGAAATCATGGTACTCCTGAGACTGGGGAATCGCCGGAGTGACGATCATCAACACTATGAAAGACAGAATCGCCACCCCCCATGCGTACACCGTGTGTTTCTTCATCTTCTCCTTGTAGATGGAAGCAGACGATCAGAGAAGAGAAGAAGACTTAAAACTTTTCCCTCCCAAGCTGAAAACTTTTGCAGGCCAGATTCCTTTTTATAGGCAGATTATGTTCCCGGGGAAAAGTTATGCTAACTTTCTTCTGTTTATTTTCGTTTGCCCTTACTTGAAAAAAATAAAATGCTTTTCTTAAGCATTACAGTCAGTAATTAGTTATTTTCATAAAATTTGTAGATATAATTGATATTTTTATTGTAAATTAATTTAAACAAAATAAAATATAATCAGTTATAGAACTAAAATAATTAATTACACAAAAAAATAACTAATTTTATGCACACTTTTTCCAAAAATTACAAAATTAAAATAATTAACTATAAATGCTCAATAACCCAGAAAAGTTCTTTTAGGTTTGTTTTTAATTAACAAGAAGAAGATAGCTTTAAATCTGATTCTTTTTCCCCAAAAGCAAAGTTTCTTGATGAAGTTTGGAACAAAAAAATACCAAACATATGACTTTTTTTGGGGTAAAAACTTGCCCGGCATTTTTTGGGATTCTTCAGCAGAGCCGGCGGTTGAGGTCATTTCCACTAAAAATTTTATTAAAATTATTAATTTTAATTGTAATTTTATCAATTGAATATTTATTAAAAATTTAATTTTAATATATTAAATGATAAATATTAATTATTTTATTAATTTTTATTTAATTTAATAATAAAATAATAATTTTAGTAACTTAAATTTTGAGGGACAGTTACTATAGCCTTGCCGGGCCATAAAGGTGTCCCAAAAGTCAGTTAATTTCCTGGTCAAATCAAAATAGGAATAAAGAGAAATAGTATTATTTCTTTTTTCAAAAAAAAAAAAAAAGAAATATTTCTTTTTCTGAAAAAGCATGAATCTTTTTAATTTATTTAAATTTATAGTTCTAATTTCCATTTCGTGATATTCATAATTCCAATTTCTGAATGTCTTCGTTTCACTATATGGAAAATATAATAACGTAAGAGTTATTGTGTAACGATCTAATCTATTATTAATAGTGTCTATTTCAATTTTTGAATCCTACGATTTTAAAATATGCCAATATAGATTAATGAGTATTAATCTATGTATTTAACATCTTTCTTATGCTCTGTCAACATGAGGAGATTAATGGGATTAACCTATATATTTAATAACTTTCTCATGCTTTATCTGGAATTTGCCTACCTCCCTTTTCGAACTAACCATCTTTGTTGAGGTTTGCTCTATTATCATTTAAGAGATCACGTAAAATGATTTTGACATTAACAATTTAGTCCACTATTAATACCATTTGCTTTTACTCATTGAGTTTCAAGGTTTTAAAATTCGTCAATAGAGATTAATTAGTATTGACTTATATACCCAACATCTCTCATATGTTTTGTCGTTGTGGAATTTGCCTACATCCTTTTTCAGTTGGTACTAAAGTAATCAGTTCTTGCAAATGTAGATTCATGCTACCCATCATATCTAATGATAGTGTAAATCCTAAGTTAGTTGAGGTGGATCCTATATATGTAGGCAGTGGATGTAGTTCTAATTATGATTGGGTTTGATAAGGATATCAAATGTTTAAATAAGGGAGATTACAATGCTTTGAATCTCATATTAAGATGAAACTATAAGTATAATTGATATATAACGTTAGATGATTTAAAAGTATTGTGGGCACCTTGAACATGTTTTAATCTTTGACGACCTAACTTTCAAATAGCACTTGTCCTTGTAATTTGAATGAAAAGATGCCAAAGACATGTCATCATTTCATTTATGATCCTTAATCAGAATTCATTGAACGGTGGGCATAAATGGTTGCCAAATGAAAAAGTGCATGGTTGTGTCTCTTCAACTTGGGGAATGAAAAGTTGTCTACAGTTCCATAAAAAGCAGGCTTTTTAGAATTTAGGTGACAACCAACGAATGTAATTCCTTCACATCTATATTTGCAGTCGAGAGAGTTTAGTTTTAAACTTTTAATGCGGTTGTATTTTAAGGGATTTTGATGTCTTAAGAATAGTGTGATGACGTTCTAAAACTTTTTTTATTATTATTTTATTTTGTTACTATTTTTTTTAACATATAAGTTTAGAAATTAATCATTATTAATAACAATTTAAGGTTTTAAGAGCTTGTAAACTTTAGCTCAAAAGATTAAAAATATAATTATGCACACAAAATATAAAAACTAACTGAATAAACTATATTTATATTATATTTTTAATAGTTGAACCATATAAATGTCAAAAAAAAGTATTGAATTGAGTGTATACTAGTAATTTTTTCTTGTATAATTGAAATTTTATCAATACTTATTCTTTTCAATATTTGTATAATAACAATAATTGTTAAAAATAAAAATAATAGAATACAAAAATAAAAGTAAAACTAAAGTAAGGTCTATAAACCAAATTAAAGAAATTGCACACACAAGAATGGCAGCTTGTATAAATAACAAATTTTAATTTCAATATATAATACATACAGTAATAACAACTTGTATAAAATATCTACTTTTCCTAAACAAAATACACAAATATAAACTTGTAAATTACCTGATACCTATTGAGTTAGGTTCCAAGTATATGTACATAATTTGTTTATGTATTTTGGGGTCATTTTACATACTTCTTGGACAAGAGTTGCTTTTTCTCTTCTTCATTTTTTTTTTTTCTCCAATTAGAGTGTTTAATGTTGATAAATAAAGAGTTGAATCTTAATCTCTAAAGCTATACCAGACATGAACATTATTTCTCTTACTTCTTGACCTCTAAAAGACCAACTAGCACAGTAAATATTATTATTATACTTACTTTTTAATTTCCTTTAAAATTAATTTTTAAAAATGAAAATATATTTAAAAGTTTCAAAAACAGTAAAAATAAAAAAGAAGAAGATTTAAGCAAACACTAGCTAATGTGTACTTACTACTTAAAATCTTATTATAGTTTTCTAACATATTCTATGAATTTCTCTTACATTTATATTTTTGTTTTGAAATTATGGAGGCTTTCTTTTTTTCTTTTTTTTTTTTTACAATTCATTTTATTTTATGCAAAGTACAAGTAGTTCAAGTATATACAAAATACAATCATTGAAGCACATGTACAAATAAATCAGAAAAAATAAATAAATAAAGAAAATCTGCATATACAACAATCAAATCCACAACGTTAATCTCTATATCCTAAACTACCTGACTGAAGGCTTCATTAGTCATTCCACAATGCATTTTATCCTTCCAACTTCCACAAATACATAGCATGTTGATTTTCACTTTGAATGACTTTTGAAGAAATTTATTTTGTATGATTTATCCATACAAATATGCAAATTTAGCTTTGTGTACCCATATTCATGGTTTAAAACCTCCACTTATATATTTGGTTGAGTTTTTTTTTTCTTTTTTTTTTTAGCCATAGCTATCAATTATTATATTAATCAATTAAATCATATATATGCAATATTTTTTGCCGATAAAAAAAAAATGCTACATTGTCCATTACAATTCATAAGGATAAAAAAAATGTTAAGTTCACCTAAGAAAATACAAAAAATAAAATACTCGTATGAGATATTGGGGGTAATTATCAACTACACTATTCTGCTGTGCTTGAAGACCATTAAAAGTTTCATGTGTGCAATACATTAAGTATGATATTATTGAAAAATGATATTAAGTATGTAATTATTGAATGTCAAAACAGAGATCAAGCAACTCAATTGATGAGGAAGCAAGCAAGGTAGATGCATATCAAGGATTAGCGTTTGTTATAGTTGTAGTTTTCATTGTGGCTTAGTTTTTATCAATGTGCTGTGTGACATAAACACTTAATTAAGTGCATTTTTTGGGTTTCAATTGTGTTTTGGTTATTATATGATACTTTCAACTTTAACATGGTTTCAATAATTTGTTTAACTTACCAAAAAAAAAAAAGGGGTAATGGAGAGATTACTCAATTATCATTGCACTTTCATTCTTGGTAACATTTGCAATCTCAAATAATTTATGAGGTTTTAAAGAGTAAATTTTACAAACTTACGAAATATTAATTATAAAAGCCTCCAAACTTATACGACCGTGTTTTCCCCTTTAAACTGTTTATTGGTACTGTTGTTTGAAAATGTCTAGTTCACTATAGCTTAAAATTAGTCACTCTCCATGAATTCTCTCGCCGTGTAATGAACCCAATTAACTCTCTTTAATACAATATTTTATAATTCAAACCGTACTAAAAGTGAAAAAAGGTACACCCACCAGTCATTGGGCGGAGATACTTAAACTTGGTATTAGAGATGTCTAGTTATCCAATAATTAATGTTTTAGAGATATCAAATTATCTAATAATTAATGTTTTCCTCTGTGCTCCTAAGACTGTAATTCATCTTTTTTTTTCCCCTCTAATAACTTGATGTAAACATGTGAAGTGTTATCTTATTAAACAGTTATGAAAAATGTGTTTTGCTTGGATTTTTAGTCCATGACTATAAATTTAAGTTTCAATTCTTATTTTTTATATATTAAAAAAAAACAAAAAATATTATAATTATAATATTACTTGATATTATAAATTTATAATATAATATATGATTATATAATTAATATTTTTACTCAAAAATCTAAATGTAATGATATGTATATATTTATTTAATTATATTTTCTTTAACATAATAATATGTTATATTATATTTAATATTATAATATTATAATTGTAATATTATCAAAAAAACTTATCATATAATTTAAACTATATTAAGCACACTATTTAACGTTAATAATTATATACCCACTATGAGTCAGTGGATGAGTTGGCAAGAACTCTTTCAATTTAATTAAAGGTCTTGGTTTTAAGTTATGAGAATACAGCTTCACTAAAACTCGTGAAGGAGAGTTTTACTATCCGTTGGGTCCTGCTTGGTTTGAATCCAGATTAATTGATAATCTAATAGGTTTTCGGATACCAAGTGATCCAAATAAAAAAAAATTAATCATTATATATTAATAACATGTTGATTCGAGTAGAATGAACTCGATTCTTATAAAATTTAGAGTTCGAGTATCGTGAATTGAGAAACAAGTGTTGGGAGATCTTTTCTCTTAATAAAATCTAATACAATTCAATTTTACATTAATCGAGAACTAATATAATTATTAGATTACTGGAGATTAATAAAAAAAAAAAACATTAATCGTTATATGGATTTGGTTGGTTGTTAGTGTCTCCCCCATCTAATGGTGCATCCCCGATCATCCCCATTGAATGATCTCTGACAATGTGGTGCAATCCTAACCGTTAAATAAGTTTTCCCAAACAGTTATGTGCCGAATAATACAAGGATAAATGAATCTCAGCGGACAAATTAACACGTTTTCCCGAACACCACCTCACGACAAAAAGGACCCATCATCATCTTCCATCTTCAACAACGACGACTCTTGGTGCCAGTCAAAAATCCCAGAAGCCATGTTCAATATTTCAGAGCTCCAAACACAGAAAATGGGGCGAAAATAATATCAATAGCAAACAACCTCTCTCTCTACGCGATTTCAAGGGCGTTTCATAGACATAGGCATATCGAGACACAGAAATCAAAGTAGAGATGGATCCGGAGCAGACATTCATAAGGGTCCAGGAGAGGTTCTCTCAGATGCTGACTCCGAGAGTGAGAGCTGCTTTGGAGTACATATATCTCCTCATTGCCATCACCCTTTTCTGTATTCTTGTTGTTATGCATGCTAATTACGTTCAACAGGTAATTCATGATTACAAGTTGTTTAATTCTGTGATTCCTGATATGGGTACCCTGTGCTTCATGTTTTCTTGTGTTCTCTCTTTGTGGGGTTCTTCAATTCTGGTTTCTGTAGTAGTTTTATTAAGGTTTTATCATACAGATTCTGTTTCTGTTGGTTTTCAATTGATTTTTGTTTCTTCCGAGTCAATTTCCTCCTTTTTGTTCAGTATTTCCTGATAACTAAAGAACCCTTAACTGAATTTTACACCTTTTTATATTAAGCCTGGATGTTCAAGTGAGCTCTCTGGAGTTGAATCAACAGAAGCCCAACTTATTCAAATTAAGGTACATTATGGGCTAAATTTTCCTTTTTTCCCCTAGGAAGAGCTTGAGTTTGTCTCTTATAGCTTGTAAACTTTCATAAATAAGGCACCTGATTTTGTCTTTTCATATAGATAACCAGTGCAGGCTTGTGGTCACAGAATGAGTCTGAACCTAATGTTGTAGAGATTCCTGATAGGAGAATTGCAACTGAAAATTTGGAAGCTGCAACTGTAGATGGTGATGGATTTACATTTTTGGCTACAAAGCTTTGGATGAACTGGATTGGTTGGGTTGATAGGAGGGGCAAATTGACATTGAAGTTGTGGAATCCAGATGCCAAACTTCCTAAGCATCCAGTGGAAAGCTCTACGAATAGTGAAAGTTCTAAGTCAACTGTTGATGATGTAGCAAGTAAAGTTGAAAGGGGGGAGGCACATCACGGTTTCCCCTTTTCAGTCAAGCAGACAGTTAAAGCAGCAATTAGCCACTTTGGAAAAAAATGGCACAGGCGTCTATCTTTCATTTGGAAACTTGCTGTTCAAATTTTTGGAGGTTTTCAGAAGTTGTGGGTGAGTAAATCCATGGATATATCCTTCTGATTCCATGGTCTTTGTTATTTCCTGTTGCTTCTTTGAGTAGCACTTCTCCTTTGGGAATTCTTAAATCTGATTCTGAGCCAGGCACTCCAGTCTATCTATTTTGTTCTGATGCACTCAGTTTTTTGTCCTGCTCCTTACATCTTGTCTGTTTTTAAACTTTCCACATGCAGAATATTACAGGTATACGTATAAATCTTGATGTTCACAAATGGTTGTGCATGCTGCACTTGGACAGGCTTAACTCATTTGCAGGCTAGTATCCTCCTCTAGTTCACTCCCTTTTGTAGCCCTGCAGCAAATCTTTAATGGTTCAGACAGGAGTATAAGACCTTAGTTTCTCTTTCCTGTGGCAAGATTGCAAGAGTTTAAGATTTTATTCTGTTTCTCATTTTGATTCTATTTTTCTCCATTGTACTCCCATGGTTCTATAATGATTTTTATAAAGTAAAGACTCTATGCTCTTTATTTCAGTGGAATGGCTTGAGAAAAGGAGCAAAGGATTTGAACCTACTTATCTGTACACCATGGAAAAGGTTGTCTTCTCTTTTTCCTGATTTTGCAGTCTTCTTTTTAGTTGTGAAACTTTGGTGTATTTGAGTATATTCTAATAGGCAAGGATGACTGATTCTGTCCTGGTCTCAAAAGTTTATTTTCATGTGCTTCTAATGCCAAAAGTACTTGGTTTGCAGGGCTACTTCTTGCTGCCTGAAGGGGCCAGGTCTCGTCATAACATACGTACAATTAATATTAGCATATCAGCTCGGCATCCCTGCTTTGGAAACAGGTTTACTTCTTGAGCTTAACAATGTACCATTGCCATGGTTTTTGTCTTGGAAAAACCTATTTATTCCTTTTAAGTTCCAAAGTTTTGGACATTTTGTGTTTAAATTGTAGTTGAACCCAAGTATCTGTAACCTGTAATGTGAAATTGTGATAGAAAAGGCCTTAACCCCAAACTAAACCCAATTTTCAAACCATAAGTTTTAAGACAATTGCCACATGGATTTGGCTGGATCTGTTGCATGCTTGCTTCATGTGACTGTTAGCTCCTTTCACATCCTGCAATTTTGCTATATGACAATACAAATTCTTCCCACTTGACCAACTGATGAGCCAAATCTGTTACCACATGTTCACTCACTTCAACTCACTCAAAGCCCCTCCCTTTCCTTCGTCTTCTCTCCTTTCTACTACTGCTTTTTTTTTTTCTTTCAGCTAAAATCCCCTAATCAAGAAATGACTATTTAGCATTCTTTAATGAATCTTTCTTTTATTATTTTGTAACTCACAGGTGGCAGCAGCTTCTCATAAATAGATTTGTTGGATATGATACCATTTTGATGAATAGTTTACTGAATTCTCCTGGTCAAGGTAATACCAATGATTGGTTTAATCGATGCAACAGTTATGTGGTTAACATACATCGTTAGTTGTTATGCACCGGATTATCACATGAAAGGTCAACATGACTCTTTGCCTGCCCCCTGTCTTTATGTTAATCATTTTGCCTTTTTGCAGTCATGTCTCATTTTATTAGTTACATAGTTAACTTCGTCCAGTTCCTTGACACCTTTGATACAATGGTCTATTCTGTGAGTCTGTAAATACGGTAGAGAGTTTATTCTGTCTATGCTATGTTCCATAATGGATGGCATTGCAATACACTTCCATCTTACTTTGTTCTTTTCTTTAGGCAATATTTTCATCAGTGCACTTTGCATTGATGATGTAAGCAGTCTTTTTGTACTATTAAGTGCATGGATGACTCTTTGTTTCCTCTGTATATATCCATAATCTTCTAATGCTGGCTGCACTCTCCGACATTAAGTGAACTGTTGAAAATTTTGTGGATGAAATCTTATAGATTTTCATTGTATTCTCTGGTCTCCACTCTTGGGCCAAAAAAAAAAAAAATTTCTTTGGCCTCTGCCCTTCAGTCATGCTATTGCATTATCTGGAAATGTTATTTCCAATTTTTATGGTAGGTTTAATTTTTGTTGAAGCACAAATGCATCCATGATTTTTTTAGCATGCCATGGATGCATAGTTGTTTTCCTTTGTTTTCATTTTTAAAAATATTTAAGCATGGAGTTTGAGCTAGTTCAGAGATATATATGTATTTTTTTAAAGGATTCTTTTGATCTTCTTGCAGGTTATCTCTATAACTCTCAAACAAAGGAGTTCTACAATCTTAGTTATGCACAAGAACCCCCTGAGGGTCCTGCAAGATTTGGAGGTTTGTAATCTATGTTGTCTTTCAGCAGACAGTAGATTTCTTTTCTTGCCTCCTAAATTGTTGGGACCCCATGTCCAAGTATGAGGTCAGGGTTGAGGTCCTGTCCCATTTCCTTCTAACATTGTTGGCTCAGGTTTTAGGAAGGATCTCTATTTATATGCTCTGCTTCTTGCTACTACTCCTTCCCTTCCCCATTTTTTCCACTCTTGTCCCTGCCCTTACTGGACGCTTACTGGTGAAAATTCTGTTATGTATATTTTGGTATTGCAAAGACAAGTATTTATGGAATTATTTGTGTATGTCTATATGTATTACTGCAACATGTTTGCATGTATGTGTATGATCAATGAATGAGTAATGCATGTTAAAAGATTGGTGTGCTGGATATTAGAATGAGTTTTTCCATTTTTATATGATTGCAAAGCAAAGTGGTCTTAAAAATTGTACATTATATGTGGATGTTAACTATCCTTGGATATTCTTTTGTTTGGCTTCAAAATGCAGACTATCTTGTGACCAAGTGTGGTGTGCTTATGATGTCACTGTTTGTTTTCTTCACAACCACTATGTCAGTGTCATTTACCTTGAGGGAAACACAGACTCGTATGCTGAAGTTCACAGGTTTGCTAAATTTCATTCTGTCGATGAATATTTATTTTGTGGTGCTACCAACACCTAGTATGTTGGCAGACAAGATTTTGTTTGTCTTGTATTAATTAAGTAAAGAATTTTGGTTTGGCAGTCTTGCAAGATGCATTTAAATGTGTAATTAAGTTCTCTAGAAAGTACGATCTTGTATTATTTGATAGGTGAATTCACTTGTTGCAAGTAGAGTAAAATGGCAGTATTTTTTATGCTAATGCAGTATGTCAAGCTTCCTTTATTTGTTTCCTTAAATTATGATTGGATCTACTTTTCTTGAATTATTTCAGTGCAGCTTCAGCACCATGCTCGGCATCGGCTTCCAACATTTCAGTTGATCTTTGTGCACGTAATTGAATCACTTGTATTTGTACCGGTGGGCATACAACATTTTATCATCCCAATTTATCTGATGGAATACATGTTCCTTGAAGCATCTTTCTTATCTTTTTAAATACTTGTAGACCTTTCTAATTTATGAAATTACCCTAATGTGGTTAATTTTTGCAGATTATGATTGGTATCCTGTTTTTCCTGTTTGAGTTTTATGATGATCAGCTATTGGCTTTCATGGTCTTAATCCTTGTCTGGCTGTGTGAACTATTTACACTGATCAGGTCTCTCTCTCTCTCTCTCTCTCAAGATTGCAATCTATAGTGAGAGTTAGGTTATTCATACTGCTTTTGTTGGCAGGTGGTGCTTATGAAGATATTAATATCCCCAAAAGTTCTTATCCAAATAGAATTATCATTTGACTCTTTTTTCGCATTTTGCTTTTGTTAATGGGGAGGAGGATTCAGGGTGACTCTTATAACCTAAATAACACATGCCATATATTTATTTATCAAAGAAGTATATTCTTCATTCATCTGCTGTTTCATGCCCTGTTTAATATGATTGTGACTCTTCTTAATTCCAGTGTCAGGACACCAATATCAATGAAGTTCTTTCCTCGCTTCTTTTTGCTCTATTTTCTGGTTTTTCACATCTACTTCTTCTCCTATGCATACGGTAAGGTTCCATTACTTTCTTCACTGAATTTTTCTTTTACAGGAAATTGTTCCTATTATCTTATTATTGTTTTTCTTTTTCTTTTTTGCCATTTCTCCAGGATTTTCGTATTTGGCTCTGTCTACAACTGCGGCATTCATGCAGCACCTCATTCTATACTTCTGGAACCGTTTTGAGGTAAGAATCAAACAAGACAGCAAATGTATTCATTATCGTAACTTTGGTGTATTATTTCAAAGTATGAGTTTGTATCAAGTGTCACTGTATCATGCCAATCGTAGGTACCAGCTCTCCAAAGGTTTATACAACATCGTAGGTCTCAGCTTCAGCAACACCCTGACTTCCACATAACCTCATCAACCATACTTGCATCTACCCTACACATAACAAGGTTGAACACTAGGAGTCCAGGTCAAGTAAATATGGACTTGACCTCTGGTCCAGGGATGAGAGCTGGATCTGACCAAGCAATTCCACGACCTGGATCAGAAAGAGAAGATATTACCAATGTTCAAGAACGCATAGAAAACATGAACCCGGACAGGAGTGGCAACACCGAGCAGATCGCTGAACAATCTGAGCTACAACAAACAGAAGCTGTCCCTAACCCTGGTAACATGAGTTCATTCAGTTCATTGTTGTTATGGATCCTAGGAGGCGTTTCCTCCGAAGGCCGCAACTCTTTTCTTTCCATGTTCAGAGATATGAGAGATCAAGGACAAGTTTATGCAGAGTCTCCCCAACATGAAAACCGTGAGGCTCAGAACATGCAATAGCCGTTTTGGACCAAACAATGGAATGGGACGGTATCACTAGTTAACTAGATATAGAATCTTTGTATAACTAATGTTGAATCACGCCATATATAGCTCGGATTGATTATGTATAGATATCATACATGTGCAATATGTAATAGGTCAAGCCTTGCCATGTATTCACCAGAAAATTCAGAAGGAAAGAAAATATTATCTTACCAGTGGAAGGATAATGTATTAAGAATGGTAATATTATAACTTCTCTTTCAAGAGAGGAAAAAAAAAAGTTTATTTTGAAGGGTGAGACTATTTTTACATATAATTAGTTTTTGCGGTTTGTGCTGCCCTCAACCATGTAGTCTAATTGTCTTTTAAAATAATAATTTTTTTTTTAATTTTACAGTTAAAAAAAGTTAATAATTATAATTGTTATGAATGAATAAATAATAAAATAATTAATATGTACTATTTAAAAAATTAAAATCAATTTACACTTAATATATTATTTTTAAATATCATAACCAATTATTAAAAAAGCCAATGATTTGGATGGCCATTTATTGAGTTGCGATAACCAGCGCTGGATATTGGCGGTGGCAATCGGAGACCAACTGTGACCAAAACACAAAAGGAGGAGCCAAGCAAACTTGCTTATTCACTCTTGCAGATACGGTAGATCCCAAAAGCAGCCATGTATGGAAATTTCCAATAAATTGTTGACCATTTCTACATTATTGCTTTTCTTTCAAGTTTCAATTTTGATGATGTTAATGGTTTTGACTGTGATTTTCAGGTGATGGCTAATTTGAATCTTGTTGGGCAGTCGAATGGAAAAAATAGATATTATAGTATAAGAATAATGGATTGGTTGATTCTTTTAATTTTTAAAGTAAGATATATGCCTTGTTTGTCTAGTAAGTTAGAAAAGGAGATACTAAATGGAAACTAAATTCAACTCATATTCATTTTCAGGTGAATGGTGTGAAAAGGTTTTAGTCATTCTTCTTAATATGCTTTTGAATATTGAAAAAGCATATAGTTTGTATTCCCTGCATCACCTTGCTTCAAACCATTCTCAAATTTTGAGCAGATGGGCAAACCATAACAAGCTGTGCAACAGGAATGAAGGAATCTAATCATTTTGGTATGGGCTACATCAAAAGAAGAGCAACTTCAGATGGAGACACTGTGACTGTTGGAGACAAAGTTGTTGGTACAGTCGTGGACGTTCCTTTTCTTTTTCGGCATTGCCCTCCACCAAAGAGCTCTAACCCTTGACTCACAGTGATCATGCATGTATAAGTATAAGCTTCTAGTGCACTTGATACTTTACCGTGTTTCACTGGTGTGACATTGTACATTACGCTTATATATAAATATTTCTTTTTTTATTTTCTTGTTCTTCTTCTCTGTGTTTTTTTTTTTTTTTCTCCCTTTTCAACTGCTGGGTATATTTGTACACATTCATTTTAGCTCTTAAGAGTTCTGAACTTCAGAAAGCAAAAAGGATGGTTAGAACCAAAAGTAACTTGGTCTTGTCTTTCTGAATTCTTATGTGTATTCCTTACGGTATAAATAGTTGATAAGCGTGTTTGGTTGCTGTTATTATAAATATACCAAGCGATATAGATACTTTATGGAGAATTTTAGGGAGAAATTCAAAATTGAGGCCTCATAACTCATAATGCAGCTTGATAATACTGAATATTAACTAGTAACTAATGATTAAACTAAATGCCTTACTCATCTTCTAAACATAAAATACAACTGAAATGCATTAGAACCACGTACATAACTCTTCCACTTGGCTATAAAATGCTCTCTTGTAAAAGACATTGTCTTGTGAGTATATTGCATCTAATCATAAGTACAATCTTGCAAGATGCTATAAGCTTCAGAACGCTGCTGATCAGTCAACTCTGTGGGAAATTTGACTAGAAAAGTGATTCTCAAGTCACCCCTTTTGCCTTCTTCTTTGGCCTTGGTCATGCCTTGGCCTTGAATGACCTTCTCGTATCCTGGATAAGTGATTTCTTCCAAGGACAAGCTCATCTTTTTCCCTCCCAACAGAGGTACCGAGAGCGAGCAGCCTGTGAGAGCCATCACGAGAGGGATCTCCACTGCAATCTCCAAATCATCACCTTTTCTTCGGAACAGGGGGTGCCTCTGCTCTTCTATCACAAATATTATATCAGCCGGAAGGTAGCCAGGTTTCTCATCGCCCTTCCCTTCAAAGGTAACCCTTGTTCCATTTTTCCATCCTGGTTTCAAATTTATTATCAATGTCTCATCTTCCTGCACAATAAACCTGGCCAAAAAATTCCATCAGGATAACAAGTTACATCTTCAGAAAAATCATTTCTTCTAGTTCAGGAAACAAACCCTTCTTCAGAGATGACATCTTTAGTGATCCTGATCCGTTTGATGCCCCCATAACACAGCTCCTCCAGCGTGCACTCAAGTTTTTTCTCGACTGGTGGAGGTCTCCTTCGTGCTGTGGTGTGAGAAAACATAATAGGGGTTGTGCTCCTGCTTGTACTCCTCGTCAAGCTGGGTATTTCTGTTACTGATGGCCTCCTTTGAATTACTGACTTGCTTCTTCGACTATTGCTTCTTGAAAGAGAGGAAGGGGAATTTCGACTTTCGCTTCTTGATAAACCATGGATGTCAGATTCTTGCGGGCTTTTCCTGCTCTGGCTTTTCGACAGAGGACCAGAATATGATGATCTAGCCGAAGGGGTATGGCTTCTCCTACTCAAGCTCTTTGCAAGGGAAAAAGGATGTGAAAAGAAGTTCTCATCAATGCTTCGTTGATGATCTGAGCCTTCCGTTGAATCCTCACCATTTTTAAATTTCTCCACTTGCTTTTTTCCATTAGCAGCCTAAAATGGGAAAGAAGAGAGAACCATAAATCTTTACATTCTTAAAACCAAAGAGGGTGGTTTCCCTTATTTCCTTCCATCAAAGGTTGAAAAAATGTTAATTCAATTTCATGATATTAATTTTTGCGTGAATTTTCAAGCAAACGGTACCTTAGATGCCTCGTCGAGATCTTTGAACTTTCCTTCCTCTTCACTTTTGTGGGATGAACTTTTAAGATTATCAGGGTACCATTTGCTGACATTGGTAACGAGAGATTTGTAGGCCTTGCACATGTTAATTGATGCAGCTTTCGAGATACTGAGGATACCGGAATGATCTGTTGACGATGACCGGAGATTACCATGATGACTCCGGTGATCTCCCATGAGGGAGAAAGAAATTAAGGATAAAAGGGAGGAAGGAGAAGGAAATGGAGAGAAAATGCAGGAGAGAGGAAGAAAGTTGATGTGCTTGAGACCAAACGTGGAGCACATTTTAGGGGCTTACATTAGGCCAAATGTGTGTTTGTTTTGGATTGGAGAAATGTGAGAAGAGGTTAGTGGTTTTTTGGTTTTATAACTGCAGTACTAATCCTCCCTATATTTGGTGTTTGTTGCTTAAGCCTTGTCAATTGCATCAAAACATCATTACCCTTTAATCTACTTTTTATTATAAAAGACTAGATAACATAATTACTTTGATTGTGTGTCTCACATTTAGAAGTCTTTTAGGACATATCAGCCTCACTTTCAAGGTAAAAAAATTAGCAATCCCTATGCTGCCTCATCCTCTACCGTGGCAACCCAATAAAAATATCAAGAAAATCTAGACAAATACCTTGAAAAGAAGAGAAACAAACTCTCTTCTGGAAAGAAACCTTCAAAAAGGAGGAGAAAATCCTACCTTTTGTTCATCCTTCCTAGTGG